AGATGACTTTAATTATCATAAAGTGAGTGTGCATCGAATAAACCTGGCTAATTAATTAGTGTCATCTCCGTCTCACAGTTTCTTACACCATCATTTCGTTTGGAAAACACATTTGTCCTGTCCCATAAGTCAGAAGTTAGTGTTTCCCCACCTACCTGCAGCTGCTACTTCAGGGCTCATTGAATGCACTGACTTTTTAGAAATATGTAAAAAGAAAGTTGGAATGGTTTGGGGAAAGAATTACACCAGTCTAGCCACATTCACCATACACCTCCAGTGGTAACCACCCACAACCAGAAACACACAGCAAAGTTTTGAGAAACATACCAGCAAAGCTAGACAATATAGCTGAAAATGAATTCACAATATTAAAATTTTTCCACTGTCAGCATGTATGAAAATGTGGTACATAAACTGATTTCCAGTGCAGCAAACAGCAGAGTACAAGACACACATACAAGCATAAATACCGTATTTGAAAAGTTATACCTGCTAGAACCAGAACTGCCAAATCTAAAAAAAGAAAGAAAGTCAGAGGAGCAGGAGAGGCTGCAGTGGAGAGGCACGAACAACGGACTTCATTCATACACCATACCCCTAAAAGCAGCTCTGACAGGGGTCGAGCCATGGACTTGTCCATGATCCGCTCTGGGACCATGATGCAGACTGGCCCCCGCCACCCCCCACTACCATGAGCAACCTGGTCCACTCTATTCCTCGAATAGGGCCAACAGTGACAGTTAGATTAACCACTGGCTAGCGATCAAACATAAGGAACAGAACTGGATTAAAAATGAATAGAGTGCAGGGATGTCAAGCAGCTTCACACAAGAAGCTGGCAGTGTAGTGTAAACAGGGCAGAGGTCACGGGCTTCAGGGTCTGTAGGAAAGCAATGGCTGTTTGTTTTTGCCAAAAGACGTACCCCACACTTTTCACAAGGAAGAAACATGTGACCCAGTACAGCGGCTCTACAGCACAGACGAAGAAAATAAACAAGGCTCAGGATTCACAGACATTACAGTGAGGTAGGGGTTCATGTTATATATATATATATCATCTGTGATTATATCTTACAGCTGCAGTATGTTACTTAAAGTAGCACTAACATGAAACTCCAAATCCCTCCACTCTGCTCCGCCCAGCGCTCCCTCTCCCCACTCCACCACGCTCTTCCAGCTCTTTAGACATCTATCAATATGAAATTACAATAAATGTGAATGCAACAAAATTTACTGATCAAGAGGAAATAACTGAAAAGAGGTCAGGTCTCACTCAAAACCTTTTAAAAGCCAATATCTGTCTCTGCCAGTGCTGTTCAAGGAGTCTGGGTCACAGGAGGGTTCGACAGCACCTCTGCACGTTAGTTCTGGAGCAGATTTCTACAATAAAAACATTTGGAAACACGTTGCACTGTAGCTTTGTTGTTTTAACGATGAATGAACTAACAGAGTATGTCACTTATAACAAACAATAAAAAACATTCACTACATCATTTAGCTTGGTAGAATAGTAGTGCACTCATGTGGTCACCGCACCAGCAGCTAAGCTAACACAGCCGCCTAAACATGCATTAGCAAAGTTAAAAATGAGTGAACAAGCAATGCAAAATACAGACGCCACCAGCCTTGTGTTGGCTAAACCAACCAAGTTAGCAGCACAGAAACACACTCACTGCAAAAGCCATTTCACTGTTTGTGTAAGTTACTGTTGTACTTGACTGCTTCGGTTTTAAGTAAATAAGACCTACTTCCCTCAAGTGTTTCCATTAATAACTTTAGTAAGCAACAGTATATAAGCTACTGACAAGAGCAAGCTAGTGTAATACTTTATCAAACAGTTCTGAAGGATGCAAAATATCATCTGCTTATTGTTGGCAACAAATTCCCAGAAAACTGCTTTTTTCCCCACTGTCACATGGCCCTACAGTGAGTACACCAGATTTATTACTGGGCTTAATCTCTGTATGGAATTTGTGGAAAATAACCAAAGACTTGACTTATCCTTTAAATTGCAGCTAATGTGTGAATGTTTGATATGGGAAGAGATCAAACCACGTGCATTTCAGGGTGTGCAATATTTCAATCTCACAAAATAGTGCAAATGTTCTATAGTTGGACAGCACTAAAACCCCGCGGTTCACTGCGAGTATGGTTTTAAACAACAGCAACATGCGAGCCAATTAAAAAAACTGAAGATCTTGTTAGATGAAATAAAAGCCAGCATTAGTATTGGTTTGCCACATTAGTGAGCTGAAAGTCAGGTTATTAGCCAGACCTCCAACAGCAGACGTCATGCCATCCATCCAGAGGATATCGATCCACCTTTCCCCTGACAATTACATGTGAAAATGTGTTGTGACAGTTAGTGCAAACTATTTCAATAACACTCCCACAAACCCCTGCACAAGCAGATTCAGCTGCAGAAATAGCAAACGGGAATAAAGCCCAAACAAGTCGCTCTTTTCAACTGTGATGTCAAACTGCTGACCTCACCAGGCCATGTCTTCCACTAAAACACTGAGCTGCATCAAACTGAGCTCCCACATCAGTGAAGGCCAGAGCAGATAGGCAGCATTTCTTAATGGGGGGCGGTTTCATTAGTGAGGCAGATGAATCAAAAACTCGGCCAAGGGTGCATTTACCCGTCTCTCAGTAGATGGAGGTCATTAGGACTTTATGAGCGATTGGAAGCCATAAATAAATGATCAGTAAACAGTATACTCTATACGGCAGAGAGACCAGGTGGCTCTGCGTGACGCCGCCACTCAGCTCATCACAGGATGATAAGAATGTAGAAAAGACTGAACTCTTCTGAGACGAAGATGAACAGAACAGAAACCTTTCATCACACTTTGCATACAGATTACACCGTCACATAAAGGCGACGACTGAAGTTCACAATGAATAAAGGGTCCACTTTAAAGCATCCTACCTCTTTTCCCCAGGATGGGTCGTAGGACCACCAGGGCATCACAAACACAAAAACACAAAGGTGCTAAATTATGGTCTTAGCAGCAGAATCCACAGAAGAAGACCTTAAATGCACCAAAGAGAATGGCAGCTGTTTATAAAGTCTGGGCAACGCTCCGTCTGAGGTGGCCTGTGAGGACAAAACTCACGAGAGGGGTCTGTAAGAGGAGAGAGGGTTGCCAAATGTTTACACATTTCAGCAAGTTATTTGCATTGTCCGCTGGGAGACAATCAGCACACAACTCCCTCCCAGCAGGATTACAGAGATAAGATAGGGCCTAAATGGATTTTACACTCCTCTAATGGGGGCTTGTTTACAGGAGCCAAACTCTGAGGCATTCTTTAAAGTTCTACCAACTTGTGAGCGCCATAGAGAAGGAAGTGGTAAAAATAACAGCACTTTGGCTAAACTTTTACAGGTTACTCCACTGTTTAAAAAAAATCTGTCCCCAAACCAAATAAGACAAACTGTAACTCTTTAAGTTAGAGCTGAAACTCTACAAACTTTGATATAGAGAAGTTCTGGCCACAGTCAGAACCACAAAGAAATGTGTTTTGAATAAACATCTTTTCAGAGATGGGGACCCCACAATTAGTAATTTGAGACTCTCTCTCTCTGCGTGTGGGTCCCAGTCCAATTCTCTGGAATCAATCAAAGCTCCCAAAGGAACTCCCTGCTCCCCTTAATCTGCTGGTTTTATTACTTTCCAGACAGTCGGCCTGTTTCACCCTACCCCCCTCTCTCTCTTTTGTAGTGATCTCCAGCAAAGCCAAGGAGGGGCTTTTTTCTTTCTCCCCTCTCCCTCCCCTTCCACCACTGCAAAGCTTTTCATGCAGGAGAGGGTCTTTCATCAGGCTCCACGCGCAAAACAGCCCAACAGCTTAGCAGAGGCCTGTCAGTCCGAGGACTGTCTTCTTGGCACGTTTATTCTTTTTAATCAGCAAGACAAACCGGTTTTCAAAGGCACTGTTTTTCTAAACACACAAAACTATTTACATATCACGAGAATGTTGACTAAACTGGCCCGTGGTGCACAACAGTCAGCTATATGCACAACTGTCCAGACCACATCCTATCTATCTGTTTCAATGATAAGGATATGATGCTGTGATGATGGGGTGTGTGATAAACTGGAGCTATGCACTCCATTCACTGCCACAAGGGCATTTTTTTCTTCATGGCTCTCCAATTTATCTCCGGCACCCCTGGCTTTGAGTGTTCATAAGAGACTGTGTTGGGTTATGCTGGAGCGCGCACACACACACTCAAATCAGTTCATCTATTGACAAGAATTGACCTGTTACATCAGTGAAATGTCTCCCCATGGAAGACCACCAGTTGGAATAAGACGGACAGTGAAGTGCACACTGCAGTGCAGAGCCCTCACTCCAAAACAATTAGCACAAGCAAATGAATTCGGTTCTGTTTATCCATCAACCAAACATGTATTGACGCCCAGGTAATGAGATGTCTGGCGGACTGATGGCGCTAGCTTATTACCTGACAGTTAACCGTAATGACTCTTTGCATAGTTTGGTTTTTTTTTCCAAATTCAAGTTACTTCCATCCTCTGCACTGCCACAACCACAGCAGGCAAACGCACACAGCTGGATGTTCTCAATTCAACAAACTAATGTGTTGTTTTAGCTTTTCCAAACCAAACAGCAACACAATCCAAACGTATGTCTAAGAATCATCTCATTAAGACGCCTATCAGCAGGTCTGCCTCGACAGGGTCTGAGCAGACAAAAGGACGGAGTGGAAAGGCTGCTTTACTTCTAGAACAGGGCTGATCTGGGAGTAAATAGTGCTTGTTTGAAGTTTGAGGCTGCACAAATGGTGAAGGCGCAGCTGACCTAAACACATAAGGCTGCTACCTAATGCTCCATGTCTGGTTTTCAGAGTCAACAGCTTGCATTCCGTGCGTCCTTCTACCAACTCCTGGTACAACGCAGGTAAGTTTCTTCCGTCCACGCGTAAAGGAACAGGCATACAGTAGAACAACTGGCAGTACAGTGCACGCATTTACCTTTGTCGACATGCTTTGCTGCGGTGGTCTCCGTTTGGAGAAAGGTGAGACAGAGGAGAGAGAGGAGCGACAGAGCTCCCCGCTCGGCCATCACTTTTCACAAATAAATGTTTGCAGGCTTCAGGAACCCCGGAGAAGCTTTTAAAAAGAAATCCGTAAAATTCCAGGCCACCTCCTGTAAATGCACAAGGTACAAAAAAAAAGTTCAAAGTCCTAAAATGTGTAGAAACATCCGGAGCCAGGTACTTTTAAAAGTGACCGGATGAAACATGTAGCTGGAAGGAGAGAGCCTCAGGTTGAAAAGGCTGTTTTCTCAACTTGGCCGAGGCAGAGGTCGGAGAAAAAAACCACTGAAATCAATCCATGGCCACGGGGGCGCAGCGCAAGGACAAAACCATTTGGGGACGACTGCGCACCGGCTGTCCGACTTCACTACTCCGATATGTGTAAAGCGCGTAAAAGACTGGAATGAGCTCAGCTGGAGCAAAGATAAGATCCGAGCAGAAGGACAAATCTCCGACGCCGCCAGCTCACCGCTCACGGACGGAACGTAAGAGAGCAGCGTGCTGAAGGGCTGGATCTCTACCGGCTCCCCGGAAAACAGGATGTGGAGTCACACGGAAGTTTGGATCCTGGCTGCCCGAGTGCGCAGGCAAACACTAAAATACGGTGTGGGACTTCAGTCCGAGGAGAACGCCTCATCTCTACTGCTGGGCTACAGTTATGCGCAAAGCAAACACATTACATAGCACTAATGAGTCATTAGGCGCCTACTAACTCATAACTGCAAAAACCACGCCAAAGTTCAATATGCGGCTTCAGCACTTTTTGTATCTTTCAAAGTTACAGTCCTGTCAGTGTGAAATCACCAGCTCCTTCCATTTGAGATGCTAGTACCTGTGAATGTTTGCATAAAAATTACTTACTCTAATTATTCTGATCAATGAGTAATCAATAATCAAAACTGTCTGTCTGTATCAATCAGCTAATCAATTAATCAACTAAATCATCTCAGCTTTAGGCTGGGCCCTACTGCTGTCTCTAGCAGACTAATTCAGCCATTAGGACAGTTGTTAAGAGGTTCATTAATAGCCTAAATGGTTTCATTTATACTGTATAATAACAGCTTGACAAGCTAAAGGCTTCATGCTATGGAGCTTTTCTGTCAAAGGTCAAACATTGCTTGATGAAGCTTTTCATTTTTTATATGGTTGACTAGAAACTACATGCTTTTCATCTTGCCCACAAACTCACCTTACTGTAATCTGTCCTGTTTATAGAATAATGATGTCATGATAAACTAAATGGCTTGTTTATCAAATAAAAATGGGAACAAATTGAATTAGGGTAGGTTTAACCTCCACTGTATTCGAGTGGGATTCAGCTGAAAAGCAGGAAACATTATTTACAACTATTTACTTGTGCTGCTATATGGAATGTTGCTGAACTAAGTTTTGTTGTATTGTTTTTTCAGTGCAATGACAATAAAGTATCTATCTATCCTTCTGTCTATCATCTTTATTCATGGATTGAGTAGCAGTGAAACAAATGAACTACAGCTGATATTAAACCCAGTCTTAAAACCCAGTCCTTGGGTTAAACCACTTTCCTACAGTAGACCTAGATGAAGCTGCAGTGATCCATTCATGCCCAGTGTAGCCATCCTCATGACTTTATACACAACCCAAACAATAGGAAAAATCTCTTTCTGTTTTGAATAATGCTCACAGAAATCCAGCAGCAGATGCCAACATCTGTAACTTGAGCCCAACAGATGACATCGCATGATAGCTGGAAATAAGAAGATAGGATTAAGACCCTTAAGTTTAAGATCAAGTTGCTTAAACTAATCCTGGAGGTGGCGTGTATTGTTACAGGACAGAGGATGAAGGGGAGTCAAAGTAAATATCCTTGTTTTTCATTTATTTGTTTTTTCTTTGAGGATGGGAAACTTAAAGAGCACTAAATCAAAGTATAGCCTATAAAAACATCTGCATTACTCCCCTTTTAGAGGAAGGCTCTGTATTTATTGGCATAAAAGTAAATGTTTGTTTATAGTTAAATGGAGCAGCATTACGAAAGCAAAGAAAACACATTCTCCTTCAGCTTGTTATTAAGCTGTAGGGAGAAGGGGGAAGGGAAGGAAGACCTGTCTGGAAACGAGAGATACCCCAGCACTGCCCTTTCACTCAGGCTCATGGAACAGCTCCCTCCTTCAGCCTGAGTAATCCATGACATATTAATCACGATGATTTCCCCATGGGCATGGTAAAGGCTCTCTTTGTTTGGTGTGAGTGGCTGCCCTGGACCTGTTCTCATTCTAAGTGTCAAACATAACATTTTCACCTTCAATTAATAATACTTTCTGTCAGCTTCACTGATTGCATGGTGTGCCTCAAGGCTCACCTCTTGGCCAACAATGCTTTGTCTGTCATTTCTCTACACTTGTCGTTCTGTTACAAATACAATCAGCCATATCCTTTGAGTAAACTAAATGATCACACTGAATTGTATTATTACCCTTTAGCCGCTGTCAAGGAATAGATGTTTGAGAAATTTCTTTCACCCTGTTGATATACACTTGGCCCTGAACCCATCTCCAGAAAACAAGGACACAGCACTGTCCACAGTTCAGGCCAATTACAAGGGAGTGAAAGAATAAATGCACTAATGGTAAAGACAACACAGTCGTACATATTATCATAGTTTTGACTTGTAACTAGGCTTATATGATCAACTATTATAATGTAATGGTCAAGTGCACAGATGAGAAACCAAAACATTTATTCCAACCCTGCATGAAACCCCATCACAGTTTTTATAGTGTGCTCTAAACCCTATAATGAAGCAATATATTCCACAGCAGACATGTCTGTGAAAGTCACTTCTCATCCTAGGGCCAGTTATATTATGGACATGCACACAGCTGGGCTCATACTCGTTTCTAATTCGTTGATAGTACCCCCCAAGCTCAAATCTCCAACATTAAAGAGATATTCACATCATGAATCAAGTAATGCCATGCCAACCATGCAGTCGTGGAAGTGGCCAATAGATTACTGCATAGGAAGAACAGTGGATTAACTTGTGCATGAAGCAGCTGGTGAGCATAATATTTCAAAGGTTTCTAAATATTTTTGTTAATATATCAGATGAATGGGACACAGCACCTCATCCACTGACCACGCAACACATAGCATCTTCAACGATCAGTTACAAAAGGAGTTCAGTTAACTGACCATTAGATGGACAGTTACGGTCAACGCAGTGATGTTGGCTGTGCGACTTATCGTCTTTGCATGTGTGGTCCAGGGCTGTGTATAAAAATGTAAAACTTGTTGACCCCAAGCAAAGGGATGACACTTCCATCCTGAACTCACAGTGATGTGTTTTCTAGTCTAATATAGGGCATGTGTATGTGTGTCTCCATGGGCACACGGAGACAAACAGATGCCGTACCTGGACCACACCCTGCGTTAAAGATGGCACCGGCACATGGCCTCATGGAGCATCCTCATCTGCCT